TGGGTAATTAATTCATGCTCTTCTGGAGCAGATGAACCCTTGCTCTGACAGCAGAGACAAAAATTCCAGAAAATTATCCCTCTGTCTGCTGCACTTGGCTGGATTCCAAACATTTCCCAGCTCTGGTGAGAAAGACACACAATCACACTCCCCGCTGCAGGCCACATCTCCTTGACTCCCATCCTGCACCCGGTCAAATCTTCTCCTTTCCAAGGATTTAGGTGACTCTACATGTGAGGATTTAAACAGAGACTTCTACCTCAATTGCTTTGTATTATATTTGCCCAAGATAGAGAGTCATATATCTGCAATTATTTTGTTTTGATTTGTGTTTCTGGAGATCAAATGCAGGGCTTTGTGCATGGTAGGGAGATGGCCTGTATCTGAACTACACACTGAGTCCTTGTCTTTTGGAACACGATTCACCATTGTAGCCCATGCCTGGTCTGGAAATCCCATTTTTCTGCCTTTCCCCCAGAGTGTTATGGTTTCAGGTGTGTGCACCATACCTGGGAAGACTTATAGGCTTAAAAAAAATTTTTTTTTAATTTATTTTATGTGTATGGATGTTTTGTCTGCATGTGTATCTGTGCACCGCATGCATGCAGTGCCCTTGGAGGCCAGGAGAGGGCATTGTATCCCCTGGAAGTGGAGTTAAATGGTTGTGAGCTGCCCCGGAGAGCTGGGATCCGAGCCTGTTCTCTGCAAGTAAATGCTGTGAACTGTTGAATTGTCTTTCCAGTCCCATGTTTTTTGCTCTTTTTTTTTTTCTTGTTTGTTTGATTTTGGAGACAAGGTTTTGATGTGTATCCCAGGCTTGACAAGACAGTATGTAGCCTAGGCTGCCTCAAGACCCCCCCCCACACACACACTTAGCTTCTCTAGTGCCGAGACACCTGTATACCACCATGCCTAGATCTTATTCATTTGCATAGTTATTTGTGTATTTTGAGAAGGCTTCACGCTGTGGCCCAGATGGTCCTGAACTCACAGCTGCTTTTCTATTCAGCCTCTTGTGTGCTGGGATGGTTAAGGGTGAGCTTTTGTGCCCGGTCTGTGGGCTTTACTTTGAAGAAGGGTTCTTTCTGACTTTGGGCGGCTCTGTCTGAGAAGAGTGCACAGCATGGGCTGCGAACCGCCTCGGAGGAGCCAGTCAGGTCCCTCATTAGTGACCTCAGACTGCAGCCCCATGACAAAGAGCAGGGGCAAAGTGCTGGTAGGTCCAGAAAGAGGACGGCTTGGTCCTTTGGCCCTAACACATTTTACCCGGGGTTTCCCAAAGGGACAACCAGGATGTGGGCGTGTTTAACTGTTGCGGTAGCATGTCCCCATGTCATCTCCTTCCTCATGCAGTAGGTGTCAGCCACACACAGCCTTTCTCTCTCTGAGGCCACGAGTCTTTGTAAGAAAATGACCCTTCCCACCACAGTTTTCCTTGTTAAAGGGGTCAATTCCTTCTTATTTTCAGCAAGCAAAGTGATGAGCACTGTCTCTCAGATCCTGGAAACGGGATTGTACTAAAGTGAGTGCTTGAGAAGGGTCCAAGAAGAGGTGTGCCTAACGACAGAGGTAAATGTCACGGGGCTGGAGTAAGGCCCACGAGTCTCACGGGACAGATTGTGAAGTGTTGACATTCAAATGGGTCTCTTTTAAAAAGATCAGTTATGACATTGACTCAAAAGCACACAGGACCCCGAGACCGGAAGATCCCGAGGCCAGCCTGGACGACATAGTGAGACCTTACCTCAAACCACCACCAATAAACACGAGAAAAGCCTGGTCGTCAGTCTGGTTTCTCTCCAGTGAAAGGAAGCGAAGCATTGGCAAGCGGTGACAGCGTCTTGAGAAGCTCTGTGTAAACCAGTGTCAACCTGCTTGCCCATGAGCAGAGCCAATATTTGCTTTTTGAGCTCTAATAAAACACTTCTTTGAGCCTTAGCCTAATATGCTATTTATTTATTTATTTTTCCCGAGTCAGGGTTTCTCTGTGTAGCTTTGGTGCCTGTCTTTGGATCTCGCTCTGTAGACCAGGCTGGCCTCGAACTCACAGAGATCCACCTGCCTCTGCCTCCAGAGTGCTGGGATTAAAGGCGTGCGCCACCACTGCCCGGCTTTAACCTAATATTTTAAAATCCTTAAAATACAAGTTATGGGGAGGGGTTAGCTTGGTGGAAGAGCCTTAGCTAGCAAAGTTCTATGTTTGATCTTCAGCAACACAAAAATAAAAAGAAAATAAATATTTAAGAATAACTGGGTTTAGCTGGGCTTGGTGGCATACCCCTTCAATCTCTGCAGGCAGATCTCTGTGAGTGCCAGGCCAACCAGGGCTACATATCAAGACCCTGTCTAAAACAAATACAAACACAAACAAAACAAAAATTGGCTTTGTCAGCCAAACATGGGACTGTGCACCTTTAATCCCAGCACCCAGGAGGCAGAGATAGGCAGATCACTATGAGTTCAATGCCAGCCTGATCTACATAGGGAGTTCTAGGCCAATCATAGAGAGATCCTGTCTCAAAATTAAACAACAAATTGGCTTTGTCTACCTAAGCTTTTTAATGGGGAAGGAAAATGAGACATTTATTCAGAAAAGCTGTAAAGCACTATTTAAATACAAAGAGTAAAGTAAAAAGTACAAAGATAAATGTGGATCAAAACTATATTTTAAGTGATTAAAATGTAAGGAATTTCAATTATTTTTTCACAATTTTTCCCAATATATTACACCAATACTTCCTTCTTTCTTGTGTTCAACACTAGTTGCATGAAATTTTGACACATGTAGTATTTATGCACAAAAATGTCAGCGGCCTAGAGACATACAACATGGATTAAAGGTCCCTTTGAGGGGGGAGTTTCCTTTTCTAGCTTTCCTATTTTGCCATCAATAAATAGCTGCAAGCCACTCCTAAATTCCAAGTGCTAAAGAAATGGAAATACTAGTTTTTAACAAGTCTCCCTCTCTCCTTTGGTGCCGCACTGTATAGCCCCAAAATCTGTTTACACTTAAAAAATTTCTTTTTCTTTCTTTTTTTTTCTTTTTCTTTTTTCTTTTTTCTTTCTTTTTTTTTTTTTTTTTTTGTTTTTTGAGACAGGGTTTCTCTGTAGTTTTGGTGCCTGTCCTGGATCTCACTCTGTAGATCAGGCTGGCCTCGAACTCACAGAGATCTGCCTGCCTCTACCTCCCTCGGAGTTCTGAGATTAAAGGCGTGCGCCACTACTGCCTGGCTGTGATTTATCTTCCAGGTGTATAAATCCAGAGGACCGAGGCTTACACATTGCTGTTCGTTTGCACTCTGGGAGAGAGCTCAAATTCCTCACGCGTTGGTCTTTAACCCCATAGGAAGCCTGCACATTTAAACTGAAACTACAAAACATTACTGAAAGAACTCACATTTGAGAAGCAGAAAGGTTTTTATCCCGTCATGTAGAAATCTTAGCATGTTGATGCTGAAGTCTTCAAACTGGATTGTTTAATAATGAATCCATCAAGTTTTCCCTTAATGCTTCCTAAGCTTGTCAAGAAAGGCCAGAGGCGGTTCACAATTTCTTCATTTCCCCTGACTCATTCCTCACCCTCTCCCATGGAGCTCTGTGCTATATATTCCAGACCTTGTCTATTCTGTTTGTTGAAATTATTTACTCAGTCCCCCACTTTTTTTTTTTTTTTTTTTTTGCTGAGGTTTTCAATCTGCTATATCTTGAACCAACAGAAGGAGAAGGGGTTGAGATCTTAACCTTTGAAACCTCTCGATACTTGCTGAGTTGAGTGATCAAGGGGCAGGTGGTGACTGGACTTTACCCCATCCGGAAAGGCTCTTCTAGATAGCTTAGCCAACCCCCTTTTAAAGAGTTTTAGTGTTTATCTTCCTAAAAATCCCAAGGGTTTTAGAACATTTTCCAAAAAGTGAAGCCAAATTTGTGTGGCTAGTGGTCAGATTGGAGAATTTAGTTTGCCTGTCTTATTGAGACAGAATCTCACTGTTGCAGCTCTGGCTGGCCTGGAACTCAGTCTGCAGACCCAGGCTGGCCCTGAACTCAGAGAGATCCTCCTGCCTCTGCACCCCAAGTGCGTGCTGGGATTAAAGGTGTGTGTCACCATGCCCTTTGGAATTTTATTTTTTTAGACTTATTTTTTAAACAAATCATTTTGTATAGCATATGTTAAAAGAAACTTTAGTTTTTCAGCGTTGTCTATAATATTGTTTCGTGTTGTTTTTCCAAAGTACTTTACAGTTAGAAATAGACACTGTTCTTGAGGCAAAGCAACAGTTTTGAATTAAATTCTTCAGGGAAGAGGAGGCACAATGTACTTAAAGGACTCATCTCTTAATATCAACAAATCTGCTCTATGATCAGTGAGGCGCTGGCAATTCTCCCATCTGAAGTTCAAATAATTTATAGGTGGATTAAATATTAGGAGTTATGGGACCAGATCAGAGTCCTCCTTATCGTGTGCTTCAGATGAACGTTGCAACTACTGCATCTTCTTGATGGTTTTATTTACCTTTCGTGAGAATCCCTAAGAGAAACTCTTCAGCCTTAAATCCTTCCAAACTGCCCCTACCAAAGCTCTCCCGCACCCCCCTCCCCTCCCAATTTCAGGAAACAGCTTGATGATAATATCCTTACAGCCTTCCCGACCTTGTCCTCAAATGATCCACACCTCAACATTTTAGTACACGGGCCAGTTTATTTCTGAAGGCATCAAAAGCCTGCAAAACTGTGCCCTTACAGAGCTCACAAATGCTGTGGGACCTGAGATGCAGCCTTGAGCAGTGACTTCTCCCTGCGGCCGACCCTGCCCTCGCTTCCACTAGAGGGGAAAAGAAATGTTTTAAATAATTTTCTCCGTGATCTTTGACAGGGGGGGTGGGGGGGGTGGGGGCACTAATATTTAAATAGAAGAGGGGGGAGGAGATGCGCCTGAGGATGGCGAGGGAACGGAGGCGGTGGGGGCGGAGCCTCGGTCCGCAAATAAACGCCGCTGCTAAAAGGGAAGCACATTCGCGAGCGCAGCAACCACTCAGGCGGCACCGAGCGATGGAGCGCTCTGCGGCGTGAGCACGGGGAGCTCAGACCGGAGAAGGGCGAGCAGGGACAGCCACAGCAGGTGGAAATCCGATCCGGAGCCAACCGAGCGAGGAGAAAGTACCTGAGCGCCGCTTCTCCTCCACCCCTTCAGCTAACGAGAACTACTTTTACCCTCCTGGTAAAAGAGAGACTGGGGGAAGGTGAAGGCGAGCTGTGTGCTCTTAGGAAGGCTTCAGAGAATCCCGAGCAGGGCTAGCCGCCGCCCGGTGCACCGAGCACAGCCATCCTGGGCTTCTGAAGATAAACCCTTTCCGGAGCATTCCAGCTGGAGTCGCTGGTACCGTTCTATTTTTGTATTTAAATATACATGCTCTTCGCCTCCCTTTTTAAAAACACGGCCGTTTGGGGCAGCAGGAGTGACACGTGTCGGTACAGAGTGGGAAATATTTACAGCTCTCTCTTCTCTCGTTTGCTGTCACTTTCAGAGGGTAGGAGCGCTCTCTTTTTTCTGAAACGGGCGTGTTATTCGGAAACTCTGTCTTTCTACCTATCCATACATTGTACACGCGCGAGCGTTTAGAAAGAGACAGCTCTTTTTAGCTTTTGGAGACCCGAACCCTCAGGGGGAGAAAAAAGATGGAAAAGGGGGCTCGACAACGAAACAACACCTCGAAGAACCACCCGGGTGAGAGCAGATCCGACACCGGCCCCGAGGCCGAGGCTGGCTCGGGAGGGGGCGGAGTAGCCCTGAAGAAAGAGATCGGATTGGTCAGCGCCTGTGGTATCATTGTAGGTGAGTCCAGGTCCCGTACGCCCCCCCAGCACCACCCCATCCCCTCCGGGGGTCCTCCGTGGGACTTGAACCCCTCCGTGGCCTCGAAAGCAGCTTGGCTTTGCCTGAGACCCGTGTTGTCAGCCTCCTGCGCTGGTCACGAGCTATGGGAAAGTGATGTCTGTCACACATCACCCCCCAAGCCAAGCCAGGCAGAGCCCTTCTTTCCTCAGGAGAGAACAAACGGAGTCCAGGAACCAGGTTGGCCCTGTGACCCAAGCACTGCCTGGGAATGTGTTAGAAGTGTAACAGATTCTTTCGGGCTCGTCCCTAGGCAGTTCTGATCCAGGCGATCCTAATTCAGGCTGGGACATGGATATTTTTTTTTTTTTTAAACGAGCTTTAACGCTGCCACCCTCAGCAGGCTGTGGGCCCGCTTTTGGAGCATATTTAATATTTTGCTGTCTTGGGTGATGAAGCTCTGCGGTGCGTGATACAAACCGCAAAAAGAGTAGTGATACCGCTCAGACTCTATAGGCTGGCCCATCCCCATGTAGCACTTGTGAAACAGATGCGTCAGGGCTGTCCTTCCTGTCTCATAGACGAGGAAAAGATGGAAGGGAGAACCGGCTGACTTGACCATGTTCCTCTCTAAATGGACTTGGCCGTTTCTCTGGTTGCCTAGTGGGAGGCATCCGCACAGTTCACAGCCACAGAAGAAGACCCTGTGAGGTTCTTAGAGGACCTGGGAGTAACCAGAGTGTAGGGTAGAGGAGGACTTGATGAGGGAAATATATGTTCTGGTACTGAAGCTCTTAAGGAGAGAAGCCTGGGCGATTCTGGGAGCTGGATGCCACTTGTACGAGGCATAGGCTCCCAGAGACAACTCCATGCCTACACAGGGCACTTTTCTCTTTGAAAGGAAGCCCTGGAGGTGAGTGCTGGGCAGTGGCTCCTCCCTGCCTTCCATCACAGAGGGGGCTTTAGTCTGCTATCCTTGGCGGAGGGCTTCTTCCCAGCGAGAGGTACTCTCCGGCTCTCTCTGGAGTTCCTGTGTGACGGTGTGCTGGGTCTGGCTGCCCATGAACTAGTTTCTCTGGACGGCACAGTGTTCCACGAATGGCTGAGGGACATTTTGGCACCAGAGCAAGAGTGACACTGGAGAGCACCCTTGAAGTCAAATAAAATCAGTACAGTATTTAGATAATCCTCTTCGTCTTTCCACCTCGACTTCAGTGACCATGTTCTTTCCGATTCCTTTCTAAACCGACTGTCATCTAATTACTCTAAGCACTTGCAGTTATAAAAAACAATGTTGTGAGGGAACAGTTCCACAAATAGTCTTATGTTTTTTGTTTTTTGTTTTTCTGGTTATATTTTCTTTTACTTTACTTTACTTTTTCTCAATTGCCCTGAAAAAAAAAATGAATTCAACCTGGTACTCAATCTGTATAGCACATGCCAATTTAAGATCTAAAAATAGGCCTGAGCCCATTACGTTTTTCATCAATTTGACTGATAGGATTAGCACTGCCCACCCACCCCCCTTGGGAAATGTCTGATTCATACACAGATGTTCACACACACACACACACACACACACACACACACACACACACACACACTCAAACTTCTAGGCTCTGCTTTCTCACCCATCCCCCAATATACACAGATTTTCACGGATGGAGAGTATTTTCCTATATAATAAGGTTTGGTGTCTTTTTGGTGTGTGTGTGTGTGTGGCAGTTTATTTGTGTTTGTTTTTTAAATATTTTCAAAGGTTGTTTTGTTTTGACAGGGTTTCTCTGTGTAGCTCTGGCTGTTCTGGACCTCTCTCTGTAGACCAGGCTGGCCTCGAACTCCCGAGTGCTGGGGTTAAAGGCATGTGCCACCGCCTCCTGGCTCTAAGTCTTTTTTTTTTTTTTTTTTAAGTATTTTTTTTTTCTAATGAGCATGCTCAGGTATAGTGAATACAGTTTCAGGGTGGATGTTACTACTGATCTGTCCACAGCCTAATGGGTGACGCTTCTTCGTGAGGGAGAAAGAGCTCCCCGTGGTGACAGTGCACTAAGAAGAATGGCAAATCCGGCCCAAACACTCTAGGTAGTTTTAGGGAAATCAGGATATTTTTCGGGAATGTTAGAATCATTTCACCTTCACTCAAGATAAGCTGAGAACAAGATAACCTTGTTCTTAAGGGTGACACGGGACAAAATCTTTTCTACACCCCCCAAGTGAGGAGCAGGTGGCCTGTCCTCTTCTGGATGGGTTTCCAAGTGGGCGAGAACAACTCAGTTGTTTTCAAGGCCAAGTGTAAACATCAGAGATTATATTTTCCATTCCATGTCATCCAGTGCTCAATATCAACACCAGTGGAAGAGAGATAAAGACATTTGAAAAGACACAGCAGGGCTAGGGAGAGGGCTCAGTGGTTAAGAGCACCTGTCGCTCTTCCAAGAGGACCCAAGTTCAGTTCCCAGCACCTACATGATGGCTCACAACCATCTGTAACTCCAGTTCCAGGACATCTGACACCCCTTTCTGACTCCCTTCAGTATCATGAAAGCAAGCAAAACTTACACACACCAAATGGGTGTTTTTGTTCTGTTTTGTTTTTGAGAATACATTCTGCTTTTGCAGAGGACTCAAGTTTTTTCCCTGTGCCCACCTTGGGCATCTCACAATCACCTGTAACCCCAGTTCCAAGGGATCCAGCATCCTCTCCTAGCATCCAAGGACACCAGGCATGCATGTAGTACATATGCATTTATGCATGCAGTTATCCACATAAAATAAAAATAAATATTTTTAATTTATTATTTATTTTGTGTGTATATAGATGTTTTGCTTGCATGTATATCTATGTATCACACATGTGTGTGTCTCTGGAGGCCAATAGAGGGGGTTGGATCCCCTGGGAACTGGAGTTACTCATAGTTGTGAGCCACCATGTGATATTCAGAATTGAACCCAGGTCTTCTGGAAAAGCAGCCAATGTCTTAATCCCTAAGCCATCTCTCTAGTCTCAAAATAAATCTCTAAAAAAAAAGAAACAAGCTGGATCTCTTGGAACCAGGTGATAGAGGCATACAACTTTAACCCCACACTCGGGAGGCAGAGGCAGGTAGATATCTGTGAGTTCAAGGCCAGCCTGGTCTACAGAGCAAGTTCCAGGACAGCCAGGGCTACAGAGAGAAGCCCTGTCTTGAAAAAAAAACAAAAAACAAAAAACAAACAAAAAAAAAAAAGAAAAGAAAAAAAACAAGAAATTTCCTAAATGAATCAGATTTTATATGGGAATGTAGCACTTGCCCTGAATCTACCTGTTTCATGTCCTGCTGGTTTAAAGGAATAAGTTAAAATATGTTTCACATAAGCTCATAAAATTTTATCCCTAGTCATCATGGCAGTTATGACTAGAAGCAGCAAATGGCAGTTATGATGGGATGTAAGAGGAAGCAAAAGAGATGCTTGCTCTCAAGTTATTTATGGTCAAACCAGGGTGATGAGATCCATGTCCATTAGACAGGGAACATGGACGGTTACCAGCGTGGGACAGCTGTGCGGCAGCTGGGGTAGAGGTAGGCGAATGGTGGGCAGCACAAGAGGAGAGAGGTCTCGGCAAGAACCCATTTAAGAAGCTCTTGGAGGATGTGGGGAAGAAGAAGTAGTGAAGGCCGTTCTTGGAGATTTTGTACCTAAAGGGATTTTGACACAGATGTTGTTCCGTGAGCAAAAATTTCGACTTAGAGGTGCAGCTGAGCTGAAGACCATATGCTTGGTTGTTTTCCCAGACTCCGGAGTCGATTGGAAGGAAGAAGGACAGGAAGGAGGGAGACGTTTCGTGTGATGGCTTAGCCTGTGGCCCCATCCCTCGGGATGCTGAGGAAGGATTGTTGACAGTTTGGGGCTCAGAGGGGAGGGCAGAAGTCCTACACGGCTCTGAATCCTCATGCAGCAGAGTGCCTAGTAAGGAACAATCTTTCAGATGACTTGAAATTGACTCAGGAAGATAGCGGAAAGGAAACATTTCCAGGCTGTCTCAGTGCGCGTATTTGCCTAGGGTGCACAAGGCCCTCAGTTCACTCCCCAGTCCCCCAACCCAAAAGCATTTTTCTAAACTAGGCATGGTAGCATATGACAGTAATCTCAGCACTCCAGAGGTTAAGGAAAAAGGATCTTGAGTTCAAGGGTAGTCTAGCTATACATCAAGATTCTACCTCAAAAAAAAAAAAAAAAAAAAAAAAAGTGAAGCCGGGTGGTGGTGGCGCACACCTTTAATCCCAGCACTTGGGAGGCAGAACCAGGCGGATCTCTGTGAGTTCGAGGCCAGCCTGGTCTACAGAGCGAGATCCAGGACAGGCACCAAAACTACACAGAGAAACCCTGTCTTGAAAAACAAACAAACAAACAAAAAAGTGAACAATAGGCACTTACCTAAAAGACTGCTGGGAGCCTAGCTTGGGGAAATTGCTAAGCTAGGATTAATTTCATCAACCTGGATAATTGTTAATTTTTAGTGTTTCCTGTCGTTGCCAGTGGTGATGGTCCTAGGGATGGAATCTGGAGGCTCGTTAATGGCAAGGGATCTAACCCTGAACTACGCATTACAATGGCCCTAACTGCCAGGCTATTGCCTTCAGGTATAAGCCTGGTCAGGGGGCCCTCTTCGTGGCAGATGCACTATGAATGTAAACTCCCCCTAAACCCAAAAAAGATGTGAGAACAGAAAAACTCATTTACTTATGATACCAAGGTTCCGTTTGATAGCCATTATTAAATACGTATTCCATGCCAGGCACTCATTATCTGCTTGTCCCTCATAATAACCTCCATGTGCCCAGCACACAGCGTCTTTCCTTACAGATAAGGAAAGGAAGGCGTAGAGGGATAAGCAATTTGCCAAAGGTCATACAACGAAAAATGTTTGGAGACAAGATTCTAGCCTCAAACTCTTAAGCATTATTATCTATTCTTTCTATTTTTCGCATTACATTTTGTATGTGTGTGTCTACTGCTCA